CCCCCCCACCAGGGCACACACGCGGGGTCTGGGCAGGGACCTAGGGCCGGGCGTGTGCGTGCAGGGCGTGTGCTGCGGGAGGAGGGTGCAGTGCTCAGAACCCCGTGCTCCCCAGCACATGGGAGGGCACTGGTCGCCCGGCAGGCCCAGGTGCTTGTGGTCGTGGCCGTCTCCCTGACCCTCAAGGCCGAGCCCCCCTGGAGGCCAGCACTCCCAGGCCCTCGGCCCCGAAAGGCCGTCGGCTCGGTTTTGGCCTCTCTCTCTGGCGGGTTGTTCTCCTTGTTCCCCCGGGAGTTCCTCTTGGTCTTACCGGCCCCGCCTTCCTCACTCCCACGGACGAAGGTCCTGGGTCCAGTGCAGTTGGCTGTGTCTCATTGATGACACGGAGGCCCTGTGGTCCAGGGTCGGGAAGGTGTGCGAGAGGGGGCGGGGCTTCTCTGTACACAGTGCTGCCCTCGGTGAGCGTCTTGCTGAGCTCATCTCTGTGCTCTGTGTAGGCCCTGGTCCTTCTGCCCTGGAGCACCTCCGGCTCCCCCCCTGGCAGGGACTCGGCCTGGCTCTCCCAGCCTCTTCGGAAGGGCTGTCTGAGGCTGCGACCAGCCGCCGGTCGTTGGTGATTTTTCACGATATACTTGGTCGGTTAAGGAAGCTCCCTTCCCCCAGTCTGGGTGCTGAGCTTGGAGCCCTGAAAGCACCTCCGTTTCGCTGCTCTTTCCCTCTGTGCGACCTCACGAGGGTTTACTCTGTGGCTCCAGGTCCGTGGACCTGAGCCGGGCTCTGCGCCCCAGCACACGGCTTCCCTCAGGCTCCTGTTCAGACTTGCCTGATACTTTTGCTTATTTATATTTTAAAACAATTTTATTTTATTTTTTAAACCTGAGAACACATTTATTGATTTGAGGGGGGAGCGCGCGAGAGCACTGGGGGACAGGGTCTGACCCATCTCCCGGGGCCAGGGCTGCTGTGGCCCAGAGCTTTTGCTGGAGGCACTGGTTTTGGAGAAAACAGTTTTGCAAAACTTTAGAAAGTCAGAGTTCTCATGTTAAAGAGCTGCTCAGGTGCATTGTCAATGTGCTGTTTCTTTAAAGTCACCTTCCTGAGATGAGCACTTACAGTTTTCCAACGTGATGTTATCGTACTTGCAACAATGTCTTTATATGTAAGTCCTTTCCGAGTCTGATTGGAACTGGAATTACTGAGTCATGGCCTGACTATTTTTAAGATTCCTGGTAGCTGTTGCCAAATTGCTTTCCAGACTTGGTGTCCGGCGAGCACACAGGCCCGGGCTCCCTGCAGAGCTGGGTCGCTGCCCTCTGACCTCAGAGCTGCTGGTGTGGCAGCGGGTCAGACAGTGTGGTGGGGCCGGGGGTCTCGGTGGGTGCCCAGCCCGCGTCTGTACTAAGCAGCTGTGGAGATTTTCTCCAGCGCATGCACGTGTGTGTGTTGGGTGTGCTCGTGTGTGCACATTTATGCATGTGTACACATTGTACACACGTGTTGTGTGCGCGAGTGTGCACACATTGTGTGTGCACATGTGTGTGTGCACGTGCGTATGAGTGTGTACACATTGCGTGTGCGTGCATGTGTGCGCGTGGAGGGGCAGCTGCTCATTCCGCCTGGCTCTGTCCCCACAGCGTTTGAGGACATGCTCGAGAACCCCCTGAACAGCACCCAGTGGATGAACGACCCAGAGACGGGGCCGGTCATGCTGCAGATCTCCAGGATCTTCCAGACCATGAACCGCACGTAGGCGGCGCCTGCATCTCCACTGCCCCAGCGGCCCCGGGGAGGGGCCCTTTTAACTCTCAGCCAGTTGTGGACAGTGTGAAGACCCTGGCTCCGTGGGCTGAGAGGGGTGGGGCCAGGGCTGGAGGGGCTTCTGCCCTGCCCCCACCCCC